GATTCCTACTAATAAAATGCTTGCAGAAAACACAAAAGGAGGCATCCCTCCCTCAAATTGCTCTCTCTTTCTCAGTGGGATAGATCAAGTGCGCATATAATTTCAGGACTCAGAAGGACTGAATGGGTGATGCAAGGTAGGCACAAATTGTGACTGGCATTCAGAGGAAAGAGATAAGCGAAAAGGGAGGAATCACCAATCAGAGCTGGATCTTGACGCAGCAAGTTAGAGAGAAGGTGGGGATGAGGCATTAGATAGAGTTACTTGTCTTTTGTTTATAATCTGCTCAGAGAAAAACATATTCTTCCAGCTAAATATTTTCCAAAAAGCATGTCATTGAAGGGAACAAAAATATTAATTCTTCAAAGGCTAAATCAACTCAGTCTCATGGAAATGATTTTGGAGTACAGAAGGAAGGCTATCCATCATCATACACTATCATACATACAAACTATCATACATACAGTTTTCATAAGGAAAACTATACTCGGTTCTAAGCCGCCTTCTTGGCAAGCAAATTCAGAATATAATTTCATTTTTGGCTTGTGGCCTTTGACCAGTTGGTTAGATGATTACTGCCCTAAATCCACAGCCTCAGACTAAGCAATGCATTTTGTACTGGTTTAGATATTCTCACACCTGGAGAATTTGTGCATACTTCCCTGGAACTGAGCTAGGTTATACAAAATGTTAATAGATTCCAATAATTAAAAAGTGCATAGAGAATGTTCTAGTTAAAGAGAGTTGCATCTGCAAATGCTGTGAAAATCAGAGCCAATAAGAAACCCTCAGAAATTAGGCATGTTCCAGGTTAACTGGAGTACACATATTTTCAAGGCAGAGGACACATTTCAGGGAGTGCTTTTAATTTAGATTGTAAAAGCTTTGAAAATCAAGTTGATGGGCTTTTTATTCTTTATTGAATGAAAAAGCTTACTCATTTAATTCTTATAATAACCTTATCAAGTGGGTTTTCTTATTATATCTATTTTATGGAGGATAAAATTGAAGTACGGAGAGGTTATCTAATTTGAAGTCATCTTGCTTGGAAATGAAAGAGCCAGCATTTTAACTTACAAAGTTTACTACGACTTTTCTCCCTAGAAAATAACCTTGACAGAGCTGGGTTTAGCATGAAGAACTCATGCATCCTCTGTGAGATATGGAGAGATGAAAATGTGATCATCCTGTTATTAAAAAAAAAAATACAGGACAGAGAGATGAAGGCGTTTTAATTCCAGGGTGAAGGTTCATTGACAGAACTTTTGTTCCATATTCAATGATGAAGTAGTTAGATTCACAAGAAAGAGTTAAACTAAAGCATATAATTGCCAAATACAGACATTCCTCAGAGATACTGGGAATTCGGTTCTAGGGACACACTTTTTCCTGGTTTCCCAGTGCATATAAAATGATGTTTATGCTAAAAAGCAGTTCTCTGCGCTGTGCAATGCTTTTTCACAGAATTTTACCCACTGTAGAAGTTCTTTCAAATTTGGAATTAATCCTTTCAAACCATGCCTCTGCTTTTTCACTAAGTTTATTTAATACCCTCAATTCACTGCTCTCATTTCAACAACATCCACGGAATTTTCATCAGTAACTGATTCCTTCTCAAGAAGCCCCTTCCTTCTCACTCACCCCAGAGTGACTTCTCCACCAGCTTCATCATGAGATCTTAGAGGTTCAGGGACATCTCCAGGCTTCGCTTTAGAAGTTCCAGTTCCTTTGCTATTTCCACCACATCTATGGTTACTTCCTCCACTAAAGTATTAAACCCTTCAAAGTCATCCGTGAGGATTAAAACCAACTTCTTTTAAATTTCTGTAAATAATGCTGATATTCTAACCTTGCATGAATCATAAGTGTTTTTAATGATATGAGGATGGTGAATCCTTTGTGGGAAGTTTTAAATTTCACTTTCTGAGGTCCTTTAGAGGAATCATTATCAATAGCAGCTAGCGCTTATGAAATGTGTTTCTTGAATAATGAGACCTTGCAGTCCAAACTCCTAATTGACCTGCGTGCTATAGATGGATATTGTGCTGGTGCACGTGAGAACAGCATTCATCTCCTGTTCACCTCCATCAGCATTCTTGGGTGACAAGTTGAATTCTCGGGGAGTGATAATATTTTAAATGGACTCTTTTCCAATCAGTAGGTCTCATCTTAAAGCAGTCAGTTAACCTTACTGTAAATAGATGTTTAGTCATCCAGACTTTGTTGTTCCCCTGATGGAGCACAGGCATGGACAGGCACAACTCTTAAAGTCTCTGGGATTCCCAGACAGTAAATGCACCTTGGCTTCATCTTAAAGTCACCAGCTGCATTAGTCCCTGATAAGAGAATCAGCCTGTCCCTTGAAGTTCTGTAGCCAGGCATTGCCTTCTCTCAAACCATAAATTAGAAGAAATGATATTTCTTCTAATAGAAGCCAGTTTCTTCTACATTGAAAATCTTTTGCTACTTAGTGTTGCCACCTTCATCAATCGCCTTAGCTAGATCTTCGGAATAACTGGCTGCAGATTCTACATCAGCACTTGCAATAGAGTGCAATTCATCTGTTCACATGAATGCTTAAAGACAATTGTAGGGTTATTAACTGGCCTCATACAAATAGGCAGGCCAGCAAAGAGGAACAGACTTAGAGGAATGGCCAGAGTCCCAGGCATCCTCAAACTATGGCCCACGGGTCACATGTGGTCCGCTGAGGACATTTATCTGGCCCACCATGTGTTTTTGCCACTGCTGCCTGTCCTGCTTAGCAGCTGACTCATTTTGGGGCCCATAGTCCAGCCCTCCAATGGTCTGAGGGAACTGGCCCCCTGTTTAAAAAGTTTGAGGACCCCTGGGCCAGACAATGGAGCAGTCACAGCACACACATTTAACAATTAAGCTTGCCGGTCTTCTCTGAATGTGGTTCAAAATAATCAAAAGTGTACCATCAAAGGTCATTGATCCCAGATCATCATAACAGACACAATAACAATGATAAAGTTTGAAATATTGTGGGAATTACTAAAATGTGACACAGAAATATGAAGTTACCACATATTGATGAAAAACAGCACTTATAGATTTGCTTGATCTATAGGGTTGCTATAATCTTTCAATTTGTAAAAAAAAAAAAATGCATACCCTCAAAGTGTAATGAAGCAACACGCAATAAAAGAGGGACTATTGTGTTATTTAAAAAGATTATTTAATGTTATAGTTGAAACAAACATAAAACTATGCTTTCCCTACCTCTAAATACATTGATGAATTAAGTTTCTTAAAATAAGAGATACTTTTTCATGATAGAAAATACCACCCAATCTATTATTTCTTATAATTCTTGTGCCTATTACAAGTAAAGACCAAGATAATGTTGTGTGCATTATCTAAAATATACTTTAATATTTTATTTCCCTATGTAGAGAATAAATTCCAAGATGGCAGGGATACAGGAAATGAAGGTAACATATTTGCAGGTCCCTGAAACACACATATTCAGCTGGACTTGAAGTATTGAATAATATAATAGAAGCTCTAAATAGAACATGCATATTTTAGGACAAACAAAAATTAAGGCACAGTATGTAAGGGAGATGGCCAAGGTACAGGGGAAGAAAGAAGGTGGAGAATTTCTTATTTGTAATCAAACAGAAAACCCTATACTTCTTTCTTCAAATCAGCAGAATTTCCTTAACACTATTGTGAATTGGTATGTGTTGCTATTCCAACGAGTCAAAATTGAAGTAGTAAAAAAGTACTCTCTGGCCCACTGCAAAGAAAATACATTTTCCTTGGGCATAGACATAGAATTGACAGACCTTGTTCTTATTTAACATTTCAATGTTCATTGATTTTTAACTTGATTTAAGGAAGGTGCCTTCCCTTTCACATGGAAGAAGGTAAAATACTTTGCTGTTTTATTTGAGAGAGTACTTTAGGCAAACTAAGACAACAGTTGAACACATCTACTGAAGAGGAGAGGCCATGGGCTTGGATTCTGAGAGTAGGGGTTTCGGAAACCTTCTGCCTTGACTAGGATGGAAATGAACCAGTGTCTATGAGCCTGGATGGTTCTATTATACTACCTGTCTCATGGGATCCCCGAGAAAGATTAAATGAGCAAACATACAAAAGCAATTTCTGAAGGACCTCATAGATAGAAAGCTCTTAAATTCAGAAGACTACTATTTTATACAGGGTACCCTGATTAAAAATGAGATTTAAAGTCAGAAGCTAGAATGGTTATACCCAGTTGTGTGAATTACTGAATGTTTGGTCATGGGTCTTTGATAGCTCATCCAAAATATCCCTTCATTCCCCACAAAATTCAGATAATCTACTCTGTGCCTGTCTAAAAGAAACTGGACATCAAATTAGATACCACATGTGAAGTAGAAAAGCAGTTCAAATTTGGTATAATTAATTCCAAATAGCATTCCCAAAATACTTCTCAAAATTCAAGAATAAGGGCAAAAAAAATTAGCAATTAAAATTCAATCTATTAATCAACTAGACTACCCTCCTGCTTTCACAGACCAATTTAGTCCCTTACATTTAATTAGAATTATGCAGTTACTTAATACATGCTAAGAGTCTTTCTCATTTACAGTTTGTAATTTTTGACATCTGCTATCACAGACTTTAAATCAGAACACAGGTAATTGAAGGCATTGTGTCTATTCAGTTTAAATAATCAACTCTTCCTTTGTGTTCTGGAATGTACTTACCCTATAAGCCTTCAACTTCTATGACTTCCCATTTTGTCCTCTTATTTATAATTAGTCCTTGTGACATCCTCACTCTATTCTTTTCAAGTGGTTTTTCCTCTGTCTAGAAGACTTGTCTTTCTTTTACTTTTTATCATGGCACTTCCTATCCTGTAGTGAAATGGCCTATTTGCATGTAGATCCCTTACTGGACAGAGAAGACCTTGTTCATCTGTGTACTTTGATCCTAGTAACATATTAATAAGTGTTGAATTGAACCAATAAAAAAAAAATCAAGACAATCTTTGATCTCTGGAACATGTGCAACAGTCTGGGTCAACTGCTATGTGATTACAGCTGCCTGTGGTCTGGGAACCCTCCATAACATCAGACAACTAGTGGATGGATATCCTACAGCCTAGGTGCCCAGCACTTAAGGCAGATTCTACTCAAACAACAAACAACATCACTGTAAAGCATTCAGCAACTTCCAGAGATGTCCTTCTGTCAACAACTAAGCTTAGCCTTGTGCTTTAACATGCCCAAATCTCTAGATTTGCAAACTGTTATAATCCTATTCTTGACACAGTTGTTTCATTTATAAGGCTGTTTCTAATCATGTTCCACAAAGCAAATTCCCAGTTTCTCAGTAAAAATATATTCACCAATATAAAAGAGACAGAATACAGTCTCTCCTTGTGAGCTGGCCCAACCCCTGTCATGTTTAATAAATTACTTCCCGGAGACAAATGTGACTCATTGCTTCCTACCTGGTTTTCCAGTCCCTGGCAATTTTTAGAAACCTCAGATGGAATAGCAGGTTGTATTTTCCAAGCATGGTGATATGCATCAATGTAAATCACACACACACACATACACTCTCTCTCTCTTTTTCTCCCTCTCTCCCCTTCTTGCATATACCCATTAAAATCCAATATTGGAAATCCTCCAATGAAATGTGATGTCTATATTTCCTTCTCTTTAAACCTGGATGGAGCATTGTAACAGCTTCTGCCAATAAAATGCAGAGGAAGCAATGCTGCATGACTTCTGAGGTAGGATATAAAAGGCAAAATGACTTCAGCTTGGCTCAGCCTCTAACTTGGGACACTTGTTCTTGGAAGCCAGCCACCATGTTGTAAGGAAGCCCAGGCAACATGAAAATGGCCCACATGGCCCTTCCAATCAATATCCACAACAGACCCTCACCCCTAGATCTGTGATGAGTAAGACTACAGACAATTTTAACCCACAGAAACCATGAGAAATAACAGGTGATTACTGCCGTTTTAAGCCACCTTGTTTTAGAACGATGTGTTGTGCAGCAATAGATAAGCAATATAGATCAGGCAGGCTGCCTAGCTTCTGGACTATTCATTTATAACCAGCCTTAAGGCTGTCTGAGACCTCTCATGCTCTCTGGGCAATATTTTATTGATGGACTATCTAAAAATAACCACTCTGAAATTCACATTCCTATAGCAAATATTACCATTATGAATGTAATAAGAAAATCATTCAGAAATTGCTATACCCAACTTCTGTTTGACAAAAGCTTCCAGATCATTTCTTTAAAGTCATTCACAATTTCATCCTTCCCTA